CACACACACACACACACACCCTCACCCTCCCTTGCGCATGCCAAACACGGACTTTAAATGTGAAGGTTTATAACATTCACACTGGCGAGGTGGATGCGCCCTGCGTGTGTATCCACACACACACACACACACACACACACACACACACACACACACACACACACACACCATCAGCCTCTACCTTTCAGCAGTGAGCAATAAAAGCTGTTTAAAAGCTGAAGATGGAACATTAAACCCAAACCTTTGAATAAAAAAAATGACAGAACCAAATAATCCTTAGGTCAAAAATCCTTTAAGCAAGTGCAGAAAAATGACCTGTTTGTTCTGAAAGCCCACCTGTATTCCTCTGTGTGTAGGTCCCCTGCTCCTCCCTGAGTGAGGGGTTTCTCATGGTATTCAGTTCTTCTTGTGCCTTGGGGACTCCACTGTCCACCTCCTGAAAAAAACAGAAAAAATAAGTCAGAATATAAAACTTTTTTCCCACCAGATCACTTTCAACACCAATTCTGATCCAAGAGATGGAGGAGATGATGTGTAAAAGGTAAATAAAAACAGAATATGTTGATTAGCACCTGAACAATAAGTGGTGTGAATAAAAAAAAAGGTTGAAATTTATTTATAGTTTGTTTTTGTTTTAGACCCACACACACACATACACACTCATGTATACTGACTTTATGAAAAAGAAAAGAAAGAAAACTAGAGGACAGATTTATTGTGCATTCTATCAAATGCCCCCTGGTGGTCACAACTATTTAAATTAATTCAGCTACAGAGCAGCTCCCATCCAGCACAGAGGAGACAGGACTGTTGAACAGAATCCTACATCATTAAAATAAAATAAAAAAACATTACTCCTCAGAAACATCCAGCAGCTGTTAAACCAAGAGGACGACATAAAACTGACATAAAATACAAGATCACCTTGTTTTTCCAAAAAATTGTACAATTTAATCATTTAAATATTTGATATGTTCACTATATTCCACTGCAGATGAAATACGGGTTTACGAGATTCTGTTTTTATTTAAATGTTGGAAGTGGGTTTGTTGTCGGCCTGTACCTGGTTGCGCCTGTTGTCCTCTGAAGTAACTGTAATAATAACGGTCGTCTCTGTAGTCCCAGTGGTTGTGTGGAGGAAAGTCAGAACCATGTCTGAAAAACGCAGGAGAGGCTTGGTTTTAGTCAACAGATTGATAAAGCTTCAGCTGGGTGCTCTTGCACAACCCAGCATGCATTTGGCAGGGGAAAGGGAAAGCACAAACTATTTCTGCATCAACATATCAAACACTACAGATCATTGCATTAATACAACTTTCAAATCAACCTGCTTAAAGGGATCCACGATTAGTTGTAACATTAAACTTTATTTGATAAACATTTATTTTAACTGTAAAATAAAGACTGTAAAAATACTGTAGGCTGTTTAGTTTTGTAAATTTTTTTAAATATATTTTGACACTGACGGAGCCATTTTATTTACACGCAAAGCATTCTGGGTAAATGATGACAACAAGTAGGTCATCGGTGCGAGGCTGCTACGGAGCTATATCC